TGTTTCAAGGCCTGCATCTCCCCATATGTAACCTAATTACTCATGGAGCTGTTGATATTTATAATCATGGACTTCAGACATTCTTTGTAAAGACGTACAAAGCATTAGACCTCAGCAGTGCCATTTATGGTGAGCATACACTGTATCTCAGAACTGCACTTTGCCCTTAATGTTTGCTTTATCCTTACATGGGATTTTGCCCTTAGGCTGTTTGCCAGTGCAGTGCAAATGCTGCAGCATACACCCTCTTACATTTGCCATACCTTAACCTGTATTCTCAAACCCACTCTACCTACTACAGCTCCCTCAATCATCCCTTCTCAGTACACATGCAAACCCACTTGACGTGCCAAGCAGCTGCTACCCACCCACTGCTTCCCAGTAATTGCATTTCTGGGCACGTGTACGTAATACCTTGTATCACACTTCAACTTTTTTCTTTGAATTTCAAGAAACTATATAGGCATGAAATATTGTCATCTGGAACTCAGTACAGAGGATGTGGAAGCAGTATTTTATGATTCCAGAATTTCTCCATTCTTGTACGTGCAGCCAAAGCGACTACATTCTTCTAATGGAAGCATCAACAAGGGCTATATAAAATTTTGTGTTCAGTGTGCTTTGTATGTTAGTCTAGCTAAGCCTATTGTTACTATCTCAGATTTAAAACAGTAACAGCCAGGAACAGCCTTTCAAAGCAAGTGTTCAAAGAAATTACAAATGGTACCTAAGATTTTCAGTAAAAAATTATTATCGTGGATATTCACATAAGGTAACAAAACATTTCCTTACCTCTGGAGCAAGAAGAAAGGTAATCTTCCTTAAAACAGAGATGAGACAGATGAAGGACCCTGAACTTGGGCAGTCTTCCATAGGAAGCTGACATCCACACCCTGACAGCGATCTGCTAGGAGACCAAGTCAGCTACCAGATCAGTGGTGCTCCGCTGATACACAATTCTCTGAAGTGCCTAAGGTCCCGGCTCTGCTGCTTTGTTTTCACACTGCTCACAGTCCAATATATCTCATCGCAAGAGTGATTCTCTCATGGTCTGTCTGGGTGGTACTTTAACCTAATAGTCTTCTTTCTGTAACCTTAAATATGTCAATTTTCCTTACTGCTTATCCTGCAAAAAGAAGTAGCTTTTTATTGCATTCTAGTCATCTCTCAGCCCTGCTATACACATTTACCTCTTTCATTCATCCAGAGAAGTCTGTCCCTCAAGCACAGCAGGCATTTCTCTTCTTTGCAGAAGTCTCTGAGATTGTCCCCACATACACTCTGATGAGGTCCCTGGGAAAGATTGCCTAATTCCTAGTGCAGCCTTCCTAAAAAACCAAAAGTATACAAAATATTTCCCTGTTTCAGTAAAAATGTCTCTCCATACACAGTACAGAGTTTGGTATTGGCTTGTTTTTCCCCAGACATGGTACCCTCCAACTTATGTTCAGTTTGTTTTCCACAGATGCTTTTTGTTCTCCTTCAGTTTTAGCACTGTCTGCATTTTACACTCATTCACTATTCCATCCTTGATTTGCTGTGGAAATCAGGATTAATGTCTCCGAGATCTGTGAAGTGACCTCAGCAAAAAAAATGGTTCAAGTGAGAAGAGAATCAGAGTGTCTGTGGTTCAGTCTTCTGAATGTCTTTTTTCTGCTTATGCTTCCGCTCTTTTACTCCCTATGTGTAGTTACTGACACCAACAAGAACATCTGTTTCATCTCTTCAGATTTCATTAATCTACAGGTTTTTTTCATACTTGTATAACACTGATGATCATAAACCAAACCCAACTTTTATGTTGCCTATACAATTAAAAGGCAAAGGTAATGTTTTTTTTGCCTCACATTGTCTGACCTTTCATGGTTTGGGTTTGTTTTGGGGTTTTTTTAACATTTTTTTTATGCCCACTTTAATCAGCTCTCTTTAACTCTACATTTGACATTTTTAATACAAATGTATTTTTTTACCTTGATCTTCAGCTAGTCTTGTAGAAGACCAGTGACCATGTTTGTTCCTTACTTTCTTCTCTTGGAAATTGTACACAGCTAAGTTTTAATTATTCTGAGGGTTTTTAGGATTAATCAGCCTTGTCAGCTCTTTTTTTACTCAGTTGTTAATGTTAGGTTTTGACTGTCCTCTGCTCACAAAGGTTTTACATCGGTTCTTTATTTTTTTCAGTGATCAAATTTGTTGTTTTCTGTCATTCACTTTAAATCATACTCTTATAAGGCTACACCTCTGTCCCCATTGCTGGTTTTGGTTTGTTGGTTTTGTTGGGGTTTTTTTGGTGGGGGGATGGTTTGGGGTTTTGTTTTTTTTTAATTGTGGGGAGTAGAAAGCTTGCTCTCCTTTCTCTTAAAATGTGGTATTATTTCGAATATTTTTTTAAGGCAGGATGCAGCATTCTGGGCGATTCTGCTGGGAAGGCTTTCAGAACTACATATAAGACATCCAAATAAGTTAATTTGCAGAGAGGCATTGATTGAATGAATCTGTGATTATTCTGCCAGTTTAGGGCAGGAAGAGCCATTTAGCAGTTCCTCCATTTAGGATGCTAAGTGGCTAAGATGCCCCCAGATTGTTTGTTTTGCATGTGGTTGCTATGAATGCCCGTATGAATGCATGAATGCCAGGCTGATTGTTTTAAATCTCAGATAATAGGGTTTTAAAATTTGACAAAAGGTCCACAACTACGTCCACAAGAAAATGCATTTTGCTGTTTTTGTGAAAACCTGCCCATATTTGGTACAAACACAGACCTCCAAAATCTGTGGTTTTCCTTTTGTCTGTTGGAGCTTGGTGGCTAAAATTCCAGAAGGTGCCTTCTGCAGAAACCCTGCCCATTGCTGTACTTCACGGGCCCTGCTACATGGACCACAGAACAGCTACCATGGCATGATGCCACAACTCTGGGTTGAGAAGCACTTCCTCTGCAGCAATCTTGCCCTAAGAAATTTAAAAACTGGGCACCAGAACAGGCAGCACAGCTATTCTGTGTTGTCCATGCTCTCTCACCTGGGAAATAAGGAAAAGGAGGAGGCAACCTATGAAGAGGTGGATCACAGTGGAGTTAGGGAATGTGGGAAATAAAAGGAAATCAATATGCATGAGAATTTATGTGAATTGTTTGTGTATGCATATATATAAATAAATATATGCACATTTTGTACATATATGAAAAGGTGTGGGACAGGACTGGATAGAAGCAGAGGGAGATGGAGAAGGACAGAGTCCACCCAAGACTTTTAACCATGAAATCAAAATTGAGGAAGGGTCAGTCTGTCTCTTCAGAAATATATGACAAGTATAGCATCTAAGAAATGCAAACAGAATTTGTACAAGGTTTTCTGACACAACCATTCTTTACTTTCAGGTGCTTATTAAAAGAGCTGTGCACATTTATACCAATTAACAGATGCACCTACATTTATTTTCCCCCGCCTCAGTTCCCCTGCCAGTCCACAGCACCCTTCCAGAGCCCCAGCAGCTACAGCTTTTCCTCAGAATCAGCTGGCTTTTTCTTCCTGCCTAGATCACTTTGCTGCCTCTGACACTGATGAGTCCCTCCAATAAAACAGAAATCTCCCCCTGAAAGAAACCAGATCAGTTCCTCTCTCATGTATTCTAATGACTCCACAGTCTCTTCTGCTTCTTTCTTCTCTGACTCTTTCTATTTTTTGTCTTGTCATTATTGTGTTTGGGAGTCTTCCATTTTCATATTCCTGGGGACATTAAAAGCACCCATCACTTTTCTTAATAGCAGCACCATTTACCAAAATCTTCAGTCTCCCCATGAATAGGCATGTCTCCTTTAGTGACACTCAGAGAGGCATCTTTCATTCTGCAGCATCTAGTCATTGAAAATTTACTTTACAATTGATGTAGTCTTTAAGCATCAATATTTTGGAAATGATACAAAAATGAATCACTTTCTTTTGTCTAGCATATTCAATACATTTTGGTAATTTCAATCTAAAAGATGCTGAACCTGTTTTTCTTTAGAATGAGCATTGCTCAAATAACAGCAGTTTCATCTGCCTCATTTCTAGCATTGAGGGGAATGCTTCACTATCTTCTGCATTACAGATTCTTGTGGATTTTCTTATGACAACAGCAAGCTTGTTTTACCCTGGGGATATATATGTATGTGGCCAGTGGCTTCAGGTCATATTCCTTCCAAATGGAAGTCAGCTTGACAGCTGTTAATTTGCACTTGGCCATTCCATGTGTTGTTTTGCTCTAATTATTGGTCACTGTATGGAACAGGTGACAAATGCCCACATGAGAACCCTTGAAATCACTAGATGTACAATCATTAGGAAAACAAACAGACAAGGTCGTTAAACACTAGTTTTCTCTCCAGCCCCAAACAGATTTTAGCTGGTTTTGACGTCTATAGGGAAGGGATGGAAAGAGGTGAAAACATCTGACTGTTTATGAAACTAGCTTCCCATTCTGTAAGTGTCCTAGTTTCAGG